TGTGTGAGCAGGCGGCAATATAAATTTTCTAAATAAATAAATTTTCTAAATAAATAAATATCAAAGTTCACTGTTTGAAAGTGATATGATTTTTTTTTTTCATTTTGGAAGCTTTTGACTCATAATCATTTTGTGTTATGTCATTGTTGCTTTTCACACTTTATGATGCTGATATCCCTGTAGGCTTTAATCACAGATGGATTATCCTTTTCTTTCTTGGGAGGAAGCTATTATTGCTCAAAGAGCATAAATATGTTTGCACTGAAAATGCTTAATTATTATAGGAAAGAATAAGGAAAGCCCAAGGTTTTTTTAAAAAAAGAAATACCTAAATAAAACAAAACAGCTTGTCTGTTTTTACTTAATACTATATGTTAATTTTAATATAAATTTTATTTTAAATTGGGGACAGAGTGGGTAGGTTATGCATTGTCAATCAGTCTATATCCAGTTTTCAAGTTTTATCTAGGACCCCTATTAAAAATATATATAAAATAAATTATTTTTGTTGTTCTTTTCCATAGAAGTTTGTAATTATTTCCCCTTACTGTTTTGATATTAGTTACACCTAGGTGATTGCTTCTCTGAGTGACTACAGAAAATCATAAAATTTGGTAATGAGCACAGTGGTAAAAGGTATTTTTGGTATGCTATTTTTAAGTAGCCTATTAGCTTAGACTAATAATAATAGAGTATTAGACTAATAGAGTAAAAAGTATCAATTCCATAACAATATTAATGTAACTTCAAAAATCATGTTAATATGAAAAAAGGGAGGAAGGGCCTGAAAAATTATGTTCTGTCACGCCTACTCCCTCAAAAACTATATTGCTTTCTTCCTTATTCTTCATACTTTTCTGTCAGACTATATAAATTCATATGCTGCCCATCTCATTGTTGAAGCAACTTTGGGCATCTTTGCGTTTTCACAACTCGTTGCTGCAAATCAGTTCTATAATTCTCTTTTCATTGATGTATGATCATTGTTTTTATTAACTGCAGGTCCTGAGAAATCTTCAGCTTTTTTCTATCTTGATAGATTCCAAAGCCTAGAAATACAGCCAAGAAGATTTGCATATTTAACGTACTGTAGGTCCAAACCATGTGAGTTAATGTTTGAACTCCTGAGTTGCACCTCCTGCAGCAAGATGATTGTAACCATCCCTTATTAAACATTTACTTAGGTGTCTAATATACATGAAATAAAATGTTTTGATGTATTAGCTTCATTTTAAGATCACAGGAAAATAATTTCATGTTCTCCAAAGTGGCCCTCCACTGGATTACTGAACAAGGCATTTTAACTTATTATGCCAGAGGAAGCCTATATGTAACTTTGACTTCATCAGTTTCTTTAAAAATTGATTACTGGGTTATGAGACATAGTTACTTCTTCCCAAATCACCAACTACTGTGGATCTTTAGAAACAGCAAGAGCATCTAGACCAGGCCTCCACCACCAAAAATCTGTGGGCCCCATGTAGATACCATGCAGCCTTGCTGGCATCCACTTCCAGTGAAGGAACCAGGAAGGATCTGCTGCTGCCCCCAAAATTGGGCTGTCAAGATCCTACAGTTCCTCCAGGCTTCATCAATACCACCAGCTCTATTAATTTTAGAATGCAGTATTGCCGAATGCCAGCAGTTCGATCCTGACCTGCTCAAGGTTGACTCAGCCTTCCATCTTTCCGAGGTGGGTAAAATGAGGATCCAGATTGTTGGCAGCAATATGCTGACTCTCTAAACCACTTAGAGAGGGCGGTAAAGCACTGTGAAGCAGGATATAAGTCTAAGTGCTATTCCTTGCTTTTTTTTCTTAGTGGCCTGCAGTTAGTTTTTATTCATCAATGTGACTCTTCTCCTTCCCCCCTCCCTCCCCCATTTCACAAATCTTTCTTTGATATTTACTTGGATATGCTCTAGAATATAAAGTCTCTAGTGAAGAACAGAACTAGACAACTAGGCTTGGAATTCAGAATATGGGAAATTAAGAAATTGGTTCTGATGTTACATTTATATTGTAAGAAAAATGACCAGATGGATGTGTGTGAGAGAGAAAGAGAGAGGGAGGGAGGGAGGGAGGGAGGGAGGGAGAGAGATTATGCCCTGCTTAATTTTTTTCATAATGGAAGCTAATAATATTATTTAGCCATAAAATGTTTATTCCTATATGGAGGGAAAAGCAAATATTAATGAGAAAATGTGCCTAGCAAACAAGATCAGATCTTATGTATAGGACGATCAGAATTTGACAGGTAAGATTTTATTCATTACTTTTTAAAACAAATAATTCCTATCCAGCTTCTTAGAACACAAAATCTTCAGTTAATCTCCATTGGATCAAAGTAGCTTAAAAATGTAAAACACAAAAGAAAGTGAGAAAGATTCTCGTTACAATTTTTAGAAGGTGGTTTAAAAGAGTACTGGCTCATTCTGGATTCAGTCATTGTCTGGGAATTTCTGGGCAGTACAGAAAAGTAGAATAGTAGAAGCTATTTATCACCAGTGAAATGTTGGCAGGTTGCATGTTTCCATTTATACTTGCATAAGAAATCCATTGTTGGTAAAATGTTTGTGGACAAAAGTATATTTGTGTGCCAGTTGAATCTTTTATCTTTCAATAATGTATAATTGATTGTTTTTCACTTTGTCTTTAAAATATTTATCAACAACTTCATAGTTTTTTGTGGAGAAGGGATAAAGATATATCCATTATTTCTCTGTTTAAGAAATACAGCTTCATATATTCAATAATTCGTTTTCCATTCTTGTTTCTTTTTGTATGAAATAGAATATATAGGTGTAGATGTTACCTATTCATAAGATAAGTGTTCTTCACATCTTTTATGTGAACATGGTCTCCCACAAACATTATTTAAATGAGAAAGATTATACTTCAGAAAGCAAGAAGAGATTAGCAGACCTATTTCTATTCCACTTTAGACTTTTATGTTCTGTTCCAATCGGAGAATTGCCATCACTTTTAAATACTTGTAAGAATAAGTTTCTTGTATTCAGAAATGAAAATCTCCAAACAAAAATTGAGGCTGCTAATTATGCTTACATTTTTTTTAAACCATGAGTGAAATGTGAGACGTGTAGCAAGTTTACAGGGGTTCAGCCATGAACTATCTTGCAACCATGCCTGATTATATGTTGACCAACTTTTTCTGTTCTGATGAAACAGGCCTGAAAATTAAGAAAGCTCTTTTAGTCAATCTCTGTGTTTTTGGATAAAAGAGGGGAAATGAGCGGCAAACTATATTTATTTTATAGCTTCCTGACAACTTGATTCGTGTTTTAGTGATTCAAAGTAGGATTCCTAGAAGAATAGTAAACCATGTGTTCTCCTCTCTCACAAACATTTTGAATTATGTGTCAAAGACTTGGGTCAAAGAAAGTAGGTAGGAATTGGACAAGTAAAATAGGAAACTATTGTAAAATGTTGGGAGTTGCCTCTCCGTGAATGTGTCTTCTGTACTATTGAACAGGTATATCTATGTAAGCCTGAGTCAGGCTGATGTTATAACTCTTCATGAAAGAAACATTGCCATTTTCTCAGCCATAAGAACAAAATTTCAACAGTTATATTTGCTTGTGTGATGTTATTATAAAAAAAAGCCTTATTAAAAATCTTACTTTCTAGATTTCTGTTTTCCCAGTCCTAGTCCAACAATAAAAAAAGCCATGGTTCTTAAGTTTGTTTCAATCTTTTGTAACTTTAATTTAATAACAGTTATTCAAATTCAAATAACTGACCATGTTACAGAGCTAATGGGTGAATATATTGGTCTTCCTAAGATAGTAATTAATTTTTTCTGAATCACAATTTTAAAAAATGGGATGCTAGTTTTAGGAATATGAATTCATTTTTATTTACTGATTTGCCTATTGCTATAGTTCTATACTAAGGTCCCAGTGTTTAACAAAATAGAACATAAAACCTGAACAAAACAGAATAAATAAAATATATAAAGTTTTAATAAAAATGACAACCTATGCAATCCAAGATGGATGTCCATAACCTTTTTATACCAAATTTCTCAAAAACAATTATGTTTTATCAATCTTTGGTTGTATCCAATTTGTCCTCTAGATCCAGTTTGAGATCCTAGTCTTATCATGAGAAAACAGTGATTTTTTAAAAAAATCTTTTTTTCCCCTTATGGATAAATGTATAGTACTGTGGGCCTTTGAATATCATCTTTGAAAAAAATGCTAATGGCCACTGCTTTTCTCATACAGTACATCTGTAAACTACATATCATTTCAAAGTAAAGTGAATACTGAAACTGTCTTTTGTTCCAAGAATATTATTATTGTGTTATACTATGAATGTGTTTTGTGGATCAGACAAGGATTCATCAAGATCAGTATACTTTCAAAGGAAATGGCCTGTGGCAGACAATACATGGCTCACCAGAAGCTTTCCAGTGTTCTGTCTTTTGTCTGCTAATGCTGTGGATTATGTTAAATGCTTTTTGTGAGTAAAATACTAATACATAGTTCTAGTAATAAACCGAAATTGTTTTTCTACCAGAAAGATGGAGAGAGAAATACCTGATCCACACCAGAGGAGGGCAGCAGACAGTGGCTGGAACTTGTTGAATTCACTTTGAAAACTTGTTTGTTTGTTTTTTAAAACTTAAATAGATATATATTGTTGAAAGTTTAAGGTTGCATTTAAAGCACTTTCTTGACTCCATTACCATTAACATGATGAATGTTCCCATGCGTACTATTGATTTGCATTGTTTTATCTATATAATGATTCCCTGTTAATTGTACTAAGTAAATTAAATCATTATATAGTGCTGTTCACTTAGGTTGCAATTCAGTTTTATGTCTGTGTGTCACATCGATCTCCAAGAAAGTAAGCTGGTGACTCTGCTTGGAAACACATTCTCAGAAATAAGTAGTAACTTCTTACTTTCTTGCTAAAACAGGACGAACCTACTCTCTTGATCACTGACCCATGTTCCAGTGTTTCTTTTAATCAGGTACAGTTTGGGGGCAAAATTCTGCCTGGGAAATGTTCATGTGACACAAAAGAAATTGAAGACCATGCCTGTCCACCTTCACATGAGAGAAAGGAAACCCCTTGCATTACATGGCAGTTTTTAAGACCAAATTTTGCACAAGAAAGTAAGTTTTTGACTTGCCTTAATCACTGTGGACATTTGGTATCAATTTTTTGTTTGTATAATTTTTCTCATGGAGAGAATATTTTAAATATGTTAAACAACATCAATATAGCATTCAATATTTAATATTCTCAGTAACTTTGTATAGTTTACCCCTTAGATTGGTTTTTAATAATGTTTCTTTATATTTCTTATTTAAGAGCCACAATCTTTTTATTTGTGGTGGGTGTATGTTCAAAGGGACCAGTGGTGTTTTAGTGACTTCAGCAGCAGCCGTGCATGCTATACATCTATTGAGACAATTCTTTGTGAAACAACGAAGGACTGACAATAGATCATAATTTGTGGCATAAGGTTTTAGGCATTTATGAAAAAGAATGGAATATCATACCATGCATCAATATGAGCAGGGGTTCGAATGCAGTTCTGCAAGCTACTTCTGCTGACTGCTAACTGACTGCAATTTGGCAGTTCAAATCACACCAGGCTCAAGGTTGACTCAGCCTTCCATCCTTCCAAGGTTGGTAAATCCAGATTGTTGGAGGCAATATGCTGACTCTGTAAACCTCATAGAGAGGGCTGTAAAGCACTGCGAAGTGGTATATAAGTCTAAGTACTATTGCTATTGCTACTGTTGCTTTCTTTCTGATTATTTAGAATATAAGATTCCCCCAAGATTCATAAGTCTCCCATTCTGATGGTGTTCCAGACGTTCGAAGGTGCCTAAATCAAATAAATAAGTAAATAAATCAGTGTGTTGCTTTCTTCAAAGATATGTTCACTACTTTCATTATTGACTAGAGATATGGATAGAAAATGTATACATTCTTCTCGTTGGAGTTAATATAAGCTACAGCAGCTGTTATTGATCTTCTGTTAGATATGGATCCTGCCTCCTTAAATTTGAGCTGTATGGTGGTGATACTTATGTATCTGTGTAAATTACATTCCCAAAAAATCATGCTGTCCATTCTAAAAATTCCCATTCATTTAAATGAAGAAGAAAAACCTTCCATCCCTTCACCCATACAGGACAAAATAGATAGCATGTATGTCTGTGAAGAATCTCAGTCATCCAGGTCATTGTTGTCCCAAAGGTGTTTTTTCAAGAGGCAACTGGACTTTTTGTTTTATCTTTGAAGATGTTTAGCTTCTCATCCATGAAGCTTCTTCAGCTCAATAACATGTAGTCAGTAGAATTATGTAGAGCTTTTCTTGGCATATCATAATCTATGGTCTTTAATTTAAACAATTTTTTTCACTTCCTTGAACTATCAGTTTATATTAATTGTGCAACTTACCACTCAATATGATCAGCAAGTACCGTAGTTTGAAATGATGCATTGTAGATGAGATCAAATCAGCTTCAAGTGAGTCTTTCGTATTCCATTCTTCCTGTTACATGTTTTTGTTCCTCCCTCCGCAAAATCTGTTAGTCAAGGTTAGGTTATCCCGAGCCTGAATAGAATAAAACTACAGATGAAAAAGGCAATCTGGACTTACTTTGAACACATGGAATATTTTTCATTTCAGCCTAGGGCATAACTGAATCCAAATACAAAACTGGAACATTTGTTTTGTTTTGTAAAATTAGTTCCCATGTTATGTATCCATCAGTCACCAAGTCCGCATTTGGCCATTACATCAAGTTTTTGCATTAGGAATGGAATACATACCCTATAATTAGTATAATACAATATTTCAAGAAGTGGCAAACTTATAAAATAATGGTGGGTGATATCCAGCAAATTCTATCATTAAAAAAAAGGTCAACCTGTTAACAGTTCAGTGGGAAGATTATTGTCTTTCTGGACTGTTTCCTGGGGGATTTAAAGACATTAAGGGTCTGGCAGGGAGCAAAGTTATAGAAACAGGCGTTACTCTGTGTTTTATTTTTCATGAGAGAATATTGGGAACATGTGAGGATATTCATTGAGTACTCATTGAATAGAACCATAGGTCCAATATTTATGATTTGTACACTCTTTTTTACTTTTAAGCACAACCATACATTTGCTAATTGTTTCATATGTATTGAATGATCTACTTTTTCTTTTAGAAGATTCATAAAGTAAGCATTTGTGTGCACACACACACACACACACACACATGCATGCATGCATGCCTCTTAATGACTACTTGGACAAGTCCTTGCAGTGTTTTGACAAAGGTTAGATATAGCCTCCTTAGGGCTCAAAGAGAGTAAGTGATCCAAGGTCACCCAGCTGGCTTTGTGCCTATGGTGGGACTAAAATTCACAGTCTTCTGGTTTCTAATCTGATGCCTTAATCATTACACCAAACTGGCTCTCTCATTATGTCCTTATTTTTCAATCTTTATAGGTAAAGCTCTTAAATTTTCTGGGAAGTCTCTGAAGGGTTACCAGTGGATAACAGGCATCAGCGTATACATTCATTCATCGGAAGGAAAAAGCATACAAGAATTGGCAAACAATATCCTTTCCTCACTCCAAGGTAGTTTTATTGGGCATTTTGAAGTGTAGTATCAGCTGCAGAATAGATAGGTTTTAATTAGGGCTTAATAATTAGTAATTAGTCTGTTTAATCAATTAATCAATTGTGTTCCATGCACTTTTAAAAGTGTTTTTAGTTTGCATGAAGTAAAGAAGGCTAAAATGCTCTGGAGGATAAATTATGTGATTTGCTCTGAGTTGGAATATTACCAGGCAATTCCCTTTCCTCTTGTTGCTCTCCAGCTAGTAGAAAGTATTTTGTTTCTTCTGAGAATTTAGGCAGCCAACATGAGTAGTTAGCTTCCTGGGCAGTTCTTAGCCACCCCATTTCTTAAACAGTTCTTTTAAACACCCCTCATCTGCAATTTAATCATTGATGGGAATGCTGATGTGGCATGTATTACCAAGGCATGATATGCCCAGGTAGGTTTTAAGCCTTAAGGTAGCATCAGCTGAGACTTTAGGACAAGAGAAGAGATGCTGTGATTGTCATCTGGGAATTGCTTATGGCTTTTAGGGGGCACCACACCACAGTCCACTGAATGTTAAATAAGTTGGGTTCTTGTATCAGTTGGGATTGTTTCTGTTGTACCATCCGCCCTGATGCACAGCAACCTCCCTGCCTGAAGTCCTTGACTCCATCTCTGAGTTGGCAGTAGAGTTCCCCAGACTTACGTACTTTGGGGGCTCCAATCTGCATGCTCTGGTAATCAGATCTGAAGCAGCTCAAGAGTTCACGGCTACCATGAGGGCCATGGGCCTATAACAGGTCATCCAGAGCCCAACGTGGTTCAGTGACATCTGTGTTCCTGTCAGATCAATGACTGTGAATTGAAATTGGGAGAGCTCTTGGTGTCTCTGTTGTCCTGGTTCTGATTATTGTGGGATTCTCAAGTGCTGCCATCCACTTCAGGGAGGCTGGACCCATTAGATCGTTCCATCTCTGGTGACTGTTGGATCCACTTGGGTTTCACAGGTAGCTAGAGGCTGTTCCTGCTGGTCTGCTGCACAGTCCACTAGAAACTTTGTTCACCGTTTGGAAAAAGAGAACTGCTGAAGATATGGATCAGATTACGTCTATGGGATTTCTCTCCTTTGTGCATTCCATCACTCCCCATGGTCACAGAAGAATTAAGGGACATAAAAATGAGAGAAAAGCTATGTAGAGTGTTGCTAGCTTTTTACAGCGAATGAACTTAATCAAAAATGGGTTACAGATGCTTTGAAATAAGGGGAATGAAGCACGAAGATTTCTCCAACCTTATTGCATCTGTTCATAGGCATTGATCTTGCAGTCCTGCTTCAGTGAGATGTGCATTTTTGAATAAGAGGGAGCTTGGAGAACAATAGTAAGGAATACTTTTATGCCAGGAAGATTCATTCACGTTCACTCACAATTGGATGCTGACCTTGTTGCAGGCCCAGGAGCATCTTGCCCAATTATATGGGAACAGCTTGAACCTGTTGGGCCTAAGGAAATAGACAGGGCCTGGATGGTGTTGTGTGAGTGGATTCCACAGTAGTGAATTCTTCTTTGAGTTAGGAGATTGTTCCTTTACCATTTAAGGAGACTGGGAGCATCTTCTCCTCAAGCTATCACTGGACTACAGTATACTGGAAAACATTTGTTCAGTATTAAACCTCCCTTTTGGTGGGGAAGGTGGTTAAGAAGGTGTTTGTGTGACAGCTGTAGTGAACTTTGGATAAAGTAGATATATGTGTCCACTTTATGGAACATCCTTCCAACGCATGAAGTGAGGCTGGTACCATCCCTGTCTGTTGATTTTCTTAAAGGACTCCAGAAGACTGATGAGATGAAGTAGCTCCATTGTTAATGATATAATAATGTTAATATAATAGTAATAATAATATGTTGATTGTTTTCTATTCTTGTACATCACCAAGAATCATTTATATGTGAGAGGGACAGCCATATACATTTGACAAATAAATAAGAATAGGTGACTTTCATTTTGAATATTCTACTAAGTGCCAAGACCAACTGATAGAGAATGTAATGTCCATCATTACATTGTCCATTATATGGTTATTGCTTGGAAGATTATTATACAAGTATTGCTACATTGGGTCACAGAAATTTGCAGTCTAAATCCATCCATTTTTACCTTTGTGATTAGACTGATTCCTTTTATGTTCTCCCTTGATCTGGTTATACAAGGCAGCTGAGTTTGTTTTCATTCCTTTTATCTTTTTTTGTGTGCATTCCCATTGTGTCTGCTTTCTGTTAGCTAAACTGCCTTTATCATAATTTTAAATTAAGTTCTCTAAAAAGCTGTTGCTGTGGTTGATTTTGGCATCTAGGATTAGGTCAGTAGCTCTAAATCTCATTTATGTACTTAACGTAAGCAAAGAATTGATGTCTTGGGAATTGTGGTTGCTGGATTTCTTACCATCAAGCCCTTACAAGATATTGAGATATAAAACAAAATGCTTCTATTTTCTTCGGCATCACTCTGTATTTTGCACTTTTAAATAAATAAATATTTATGCAGGCATCCTTTTCATTCATAAAAATGGAAATTGTTGTCACGGCTGCAGTGGGGAGGCTAGTATTCTTGTTCACACATACTTTTGATGTATTGGCTCATAAAATCTTAACATTTGGCTTGTACAGCAGAGTTCATGACTGAATACAGAATGATAAGGAAGCATGAGCAATTTTGCAAGGTAAAAAGGCAGCAGGCTTCCTAAAGGGCCCTTAAGCTAGTTCCTAACAGCCTAGAAATCAGCACAGAGGTTGTAATCAGGCTTGTAGGTAAAGGAGCAATGTTCTACATAAATCTTTTGGGCATAATATGTAAATTGAAAGACTGGAGCTCTAAAACACTTACTTGATTTTTGTAATATTTTCATGACCCTAGCCAGTCCAAATAATATACATCATTGCCTGATTTTTTTATTAGAATTAAACCAAAATAGTAGTTTTATCTGGCTAGAGGCTAAGAAGCCTGGTGGCTTTGGCAGATGATTTACATCTAAAGTATTCTTTCCCATTTCTGGTGAACTGATGCATTTTGGTCCAGGGAATACTTGCATTTCCTGTGGATATTTAGTTTGCCTTCTCAAAAAAATAGGTGAGTTATGGTGCTAACAATCTAAAAGTATCACCTCAGGTTTCTTTGTTAAACTTAGTTAAAGATATGTGTTAAAACTTTTCCTTACAAAAATCAGATTGTCTGCCTTTCCCCCCTGTTTTGCTACATACTATGACATAAAGATGGAAGTAACACAAACCTTGTAGCAAAATTAATTGTTTTAATGACCTAAAGTGGAAATTAGTTCTGAACAGCAAGACATTCATTGTAGTTCTGACTTTCTACATTATGGCTACAAGATTTAGTTTGTAACTTGTTCCTTGCTAGGCTGCTTTCTAATTTTTAAAGCAGATTTATTCATAAAGTTCTTACAACATTCAAAAAAGTAATCCATCAAGTAGACAGACACAAGCAATTTTCTCTCCAATTCTGTCACGAACCAGGTGAAATAGTTATATTTTCTGGGCAGTCTTTATGATGAGCATATGGCTCTTGAATATTCAAGTTCCTGACTGAGAAATAATAGGCCTTAATCCTTCATTAATCTTTGAAGAAATGCCTTCAAAATTGAAGAGCCTTCAGTCTGATGAAATTAAAAGGAGAATGGTTTTTGTTGCTTCTGTCTTTTCAGAAGTCCCCACAAAACCTGCCACATTTTGTGGAGGATACCTCAGTCTTCTGGAAAAAGGTTTTTAAAAGGTTCATGTGTAAAGAGTAGTCAACTAGTAAGACTTCTCTTACTCAGTAGAAGAGTATGGGAATACTTCCTTCATGAGTGACAGGAAGGAATATATCCTTCATGGATAATGCAATGGAATCATTACATCCAACACATTATTATTATAGTCACATTTCCACATTATCTGGAGTCATTTTTGTGGGAAGTTTAATTTCAGTTGTTCAAGGATAATTGTTGAATAAATTTTAAACAAATAAATAAACAAATGTCTTAACAATATATTAGCAAAATAATTGACAGGACAAAGCTTTAAGCAGAAGAGAAAGTAATGTTTCCATATGGTAAAATGTGTTCCTCATTGTTGACTTTCCGTCACAAGTTAGATAGATAGATAGATGGATGGATGGATGGATAGATAGATAGATAGATAGATAGATAGATAGATAGATAGACACAAAAATCAAATATTAAAATCATGTGATAACTTGATGATTTCCTAGTAATGCTTAGTAGATTGTTTATTTCATTAGGAATTTGATTAATGAAATTGATAGCTATTGATAGCTATGATAGCTTCACCTGTTTTGAGGCAGCTGCACAGGAATTTAATATGTCTTCATTTTTACTAATGTTCAAGATCAAACAAAATCAAGTTGGTTTAGGAAGTAAATTCAGTGTATTTGCCCATGTACCATATAAGAAATTGTACTGATAGAATAAGTTTCTCATCTTCAGTTATGCTTTGGTTCAAGGGGAGCTCTTTGTAAAAAAAAAAAAAAAGATATATTCTTGGTATCCTTTAGTACAAATCTAATATTTCCTGTCTTTTAACAGCTACATTATTTTTCCACATGCAGCTCATATGAATTTAAAAGGATTGGCATTGACAGATATTATTTTGGTCCATCTGTATATGAAGAATATGGCCGATTTTGCTGTGATAAATTCAGTCTATATGACGGCATTTGATTTGTGTTCTCCAGCGAGGTAGGTTCATACTACTGCTGCCTTATATTTATGGTACACTGGTTCAATGGTTCATTGCTACTAATGCTTTATTTATGACTTTTCTTCAGACTTGGTTTCTCTGTGTTTGGATTGGGCTTCCTTTTACCTCTTTATATGTCTCTTTTCAAAGGCATGATCTTTTATTCTCTATTGTAGCAGCTGCATCAGGAGTGCATGTGAATCTCTGATTTTTTAAAAAAACACTTTTTGATACTGAACCTAATTTATATTCTGTTATCCCAGATTCATCATATAGGTCTTTTAATGCAGTAACTTGCTTCATAATGAGTCCATGCTTTTCACCATTGAATTATGTTCCCCAAACCTACTTTATTGAAGTATAATTCTGAAATAATTATCAATTAGCTAGCCAACAGGGGCAATCTAATAGTAACGTTCTAAAAAATTTGGGCAAAATGGTCTATTATCCCCCTATGAATTACAGCTTATAGACTTATATATTGCCCCATGGTGCTTTACAGCACTCTGGATGATCTACAATGTCAGCATAAAGGTAAAGGTTCCCCTCGCATATACATGCTAGTTGTTTCCGACTCTAGGGGGCTGTGCTCATGTCCATTACAAAGCCAAAGAGCCAGTGCTGTCTGAAGACGTCTCCGTGGTCATGTGGCCGACATGACTAAAAGCCAAAGGTGCACAGAACACTGTTACCTTCCCACCAAAGTGGCCCCTATTTTTCTACTTGCATTTGTACATGCTTTCAAACTGCTACATTGGCAGAATTTGGGACAAGTAACCAGAGCTCACTCAGTTATGCGGCGCTAGGGATTCAAACCGCTGTAGTGCCGATAATCTGGGTTCTCATTTTATTGACCTTGGAAGGATGGAATGCTGAGTCAACCTCAAGCCCCAGGATTGAACTCCAGGCTGTGGATAGAGTTAGCCTGCAATACTATATTATTGTGTTCCTGCTTCTTTTCCATTCTAACTTGGCAAAAGCTCCATTATTTTTTGTCCCGTCAAATGCAGTAAGCAGGGTTAAGAGTAAAGCAGCTTAGAAGAGACTAACATGATAAGCATCAGGTGCAGAATTTGCTAAATTAATAAGGTAGGCATGTTCAATTACAGGAGAGAAGATAAGATGTGCAGATTGAAAATTAAGAGCAACGTAGAAAGCTAATGCTCAGTGAAAGATTATAGTTCTAAATAATGATATTATCACTGGGACAGCTAAGTCAATCTTGGAAACCATCTTGTTCTCTGCCAAGATTGGCTATCTCTGAAAGCACTTGAACTGCAAGATGGATGGCATATAAATTCTTTGTGCCTCACTAATTTTGTTAAAATTGAAAGGTTTCCTTTTTTAATTGACTATTCTTATAACATACCATTATCAGATAATTCCGCTATGGTTAGGGACATTTCACTAACAAATTGAACAAACCCATTCATGTGTATCCTTCTTGATTTTCAGTAAACAAACAAAGATGCTAAAGAAATGTGTTCTCTTGATGAATGGGAAGTGAGGTACGTTGTTTTTCAACATCAGCTTCTTTAACATTATATCACTTTCTGTGAATAGGAAAAAACTGAATTTGAAAAACATCATATTAGAAAAGTTCTTCCACTGCAGTTTTTAATGCAGTATTATTAATAAATAGCTTTTATACACCTTTTACTTTTACTGAACCTATGCAGTGTTGTTTTTAAATGTATTATTTACTTTATGGAATTATACCTCACAATTCTGTTTACGCAAATACACGAGACATATTTCAATTTAAAAAATAGAATAGAAAATATATTGAAAATAATGCCATTAAAGCAGCAAGTGAATTAATTAAGATCACTACAGTAATATGTCCTTAGAATAAAGTTCTTTCTACTTTTTCTAGAGCAATTTTAACATAGTACTTTTATTGGGCTAATTCTGGATTTACAAATTGGTGTTCAAATCCCTGAAGATTCCAGAAGTTTTCATCAGAAAAGATGCTTAAAAATTAGGGTGCTGGGGGAGTTTTTATTAATATTTTAAGCTGTGTCGGTGGTAACAGTCTTAGGGTGTGGGAGTTGTTTGTGGCCACTATGAGCTGCTTTAGTTTATATTTTTCATTCCTATCGAGATCTATAATTTAAATCCTAGCGTAATTTTTTCCTCCTTTTCCTCCTCCTCCTCCTCCTCTTCCTTCTCCTCCTCTTCTTCTGACTGAAGAGTTCATAAATTCAAATGTTACACCCTATTTTATAGAGCTAGAAAATGGTGCTCTCTCTCCTTATGAGTGTTTCTTTCCCTCGTGGCCAATATATGGTTTAAAAAATACTTTTAGGCATGCTGTTCTACTGAACTTGCCATCTTGAACATTAAGAGGGAATCAGCACAGCAGTGTTCTTATTCCTCTTAATTTAAAATCATCTTTAAATATATTTTATTCCTGCCTTTTTAATAAGCATTTTAATATATAAAGCTAATGAAATAAGGACTGTACAATTAAATATTTTTAATGCTACATAAAATCTTTTTTTAAGAAGGAATCTCTTTGGGATGTTTTTTTTTCCAGAAGAGGATTTTATTACTTTTATTCCATTTAGTAAGATATATTTCTCTTTACTTAGTAATAGCTTTTCTAATAATTGGATCTTTTGAAACTCATTGCATTGTAGATTTCTTTAAGATAAATAGCTTATTTCTTGTTAATGTCATGTCCCATACTTTATGCAAAATCTCTGTGTTATCCTAATATACAATTGATTGAGAAGAAGCCAGAAAAAGATGAATGTAAGTTTTATGCCTCTATTTATAGAGCTTGAACCCATAGAAAGTATACATTTCAATATAATCTTCTAGATTTACTCTTGTACTATGAAAGAACAGTTGAGAAGGACTTTTTATGGATCCTCATTCTGGCCTTTGTAAAATACTAATAGTAATAATAATAACAGAGCAATAGAGTTGGAAGAGACCTCGGAGGTCTTCTAGTCCTTGGAGTTCTTCTAGTCCAACCCCCTGCTCAAGGAGGTTGGACTAGATCTATATCTGTGATCTGCTGCTGTCTTCTAGCGCTGCTTCTTATTGTCCCTGCCTGTTAATTTGTTTTTTCTTAAATTATTAATAGTGCCAAAAGCAAAGCAAGGATATAAAGTTCTCCATTTGCCTGTTCTTTCTCTCGGTGACAGCAGATTGCTCTGAAGAGAAACTGGGGAAGTAGTAAGGACCAAGTGAGATTCTTGACTGGGATCTCAAGCATTCTTGCCCATTCTCACCTTCCATCTCTGCTCTGTTAGTATAAATCTTAGGGATATTAAGAGCACAGCAACCAGAACTTTCAGACAGTTTAATGTCATTCAAATGCTGCCAGTACTTTTTTTTATATTTATGTTTAGGGTTTGTGTTGAAGCTCCATTGACAGAAGACCTGCTATTTCAGATGGACTGCCTTGCCCAAAAGGATGATAAAATGATCTCCGGTGCATCTTGTTCCCAGAAGCAGGTGATGCATGTACAAAGCATTTCTCATTGGGCTCCTGCCAATATCGGTCCTTACAGTCAGTGCATACAGGTAAGACATCTTCATCTATGCAATATTTTCCCATTCAGGAAGTTCCTTGAATCTGCATATTGTAATATTAGGCCATCCGTTTTGAACATCAGTTAACATTGGCTCTTTACGTTACTTTCCTTTGAAGACAATCTAAACTTTATAGCTTAAAGTAGAGCAAGATGGAAGGGGGAATTTGATCATATTACAACAGTAATGCAAATAATTGTAATATTCAAAAATATACAAATGCTTAAGTTTATAAAGAAATTGGGAAAGCAAGAAAAAGATATCGTAGACAGGTGGCAGGATTGAGAATAAATAAGGATAAAACCAAGAGTAAATTGTGAACTATTTTGTGAATGTAACTATTTCTGTGGCAAGAATTATTCTGGTTTTTTTAAATTGCATTCTTAGAAATTATTCCCATAGTAGGACTAAATTGGGATTCACATCAACTTTGGCTAAGCACAGAGTCTTGTGTGTGTGTGTCTGTGTGTGTGTAAAATACTTACCATTATCAGATATATTTATTATATTAAGTGGGAACAAATTAGTAGTCCTAGAGAGAAAGAGAGAGTTTCAGTGGTGCTATTCTACTGGTTTGGCCCGATTCTGGCGTACCGGTAAGCGCCGAAGATCAGCGGAGACTGAACCGGTTCTCTCTGCGGAGCTGCTTTTGGGTCCATCCACCCGCCCAGGCTCCCATACTGACCTTTATTCCCTGCTTTTGAAGCACAGCTGCTTTGCGCGGCACAACAGATTGCCGCGCGTCAGCTGCTGAAGCTACCAGGAGAGTGCAGAATTGCAGGAGGTGAGTAGGAAAGCCTCTGTGTGTGCGCAAAATGTGCATTTGGCACACACACAGATACAAAGTGTGTGCATGCGTGCAAAGTGCACCCACCAATCCATGCCCACTGAACCAGTGGTGACCTACTTTGCAATCCACCACTGGAGAGTTTGTGTGGAAGGTGGTATTATTTGTTAGCTATTGCCCCCAAAAGCTATTTGCTATACCAGAATAAATAATATGAATATTTGCCAGTTTAAGATTAAGCAGCCTGTCATAAATAATATGAATATTGTCAGTAAAGTTTAATGTATCTTGAACTCCCAATAAATACATTTCTAATTTTGCTATCTTGTTTTTTTCTATTTTCTTTTTTAAATATTGCCAAAAATGATTTTTTTTTTAAAAAAAAGCATAGATGTTTTGGCTGGAATATAATGAAGTTGACTTCAAATTGTAGATGGAGCATGGACAGTTTTTAAAGCAACCAAGCAGAAAATACCTTTCTTTAGCAGGCATTGTACCTGAATATTATTCTTACATCAAAATTGAATTCTGACACTAAAATAGCAGGGAGAATTCATAAATGCTACAATTTAAAATGTACAAAAAATTGCTTTCTGACTCCCAAAGGAAATAGTATATGAATCTAATTCATAGAGAATGAAAGATGCCATCTTTTCAAATCACAGGTGCATTTATCCCAGAGTTTTATTGAATATCATACGACACATTGTGTAAGACAAGAAAAATGGGGGGAGGGGGTGTTAGTATGAATGTTTCCATATATTTACTTGTTGAAACAGTTTGTTTGCACAGACAATGTGTATCTCCTTATATCACTCAATATAACTTAAGCATGTCTATAGTTGATAGTTGAAAATATAGCCATGGGTATAATTATAATCTAGATCAACATCTAAAAATTGAATCATTTTTGGTATGAAGTGTTGTAGAGCGGCAGAATAACCTGAGGCGAACATGGAGCGAACTTCAGCTTTTACTTTATTGTAACAATAAAGGGTTGCTACCGCGCTAACAAGGCAGCCAGCTGGTGGACAACAGCTGATGCCGTTTGACAGCTCCCTTTTATAGCCGGCTGTCAAACGGCATCAGCCAATAGGAATGGTCCGTGTTCCTGCTGGAAACACGAACCAGAGTGAAGACTTCAGCTCAGTCTTTTCCGAATGCCACACTCCTTTCCCCCAGAACGAAGCATGCATAGTCCTTCAGATAACTCAAGCGCTTGTGCAGGTGGCCAGATCTTCTAGGTTCTGACGAAGCTGCTGCTGGAAGGAACTTTTCTGCTTGTTGGGCAACTTCTGATGCCGATGAAGCTGGCGTCTTGGCTTCAGGTGTCTCTGGGCGAGGGACAGATGGCTGCTCAGGTAGGCTTGCGTTCCTTTCAGAATCGCGGGAGGTTTCTTTGGGCGCCGGTGGTTTATCTGTCGCAGGAACGTCTTGAGGGCCATCTGCAGACGAATTCCAGTGCCTTCTAAGTTGATCAATATGGTGGCGTCAAATGCGCCTGTCTTGCAGTTGGACCCTGTAAGACTTAGGACCGGTTACCACCACAATCTGCCCAGGCATCCACAAAGGGTGTCCCGCATAATTCCAGGCATAGACCTGGTCATTTTCAGCGAACTCCCTTGCCTGGTTATTTGATCCTCGGGGCGTGACTGGGGCATAATATGGATGGATTCTGTCTAAAGTAGCCCTCAGACATTTACCCATGAGAAGTTCAGCCGGGGACCTGTTAGTGGTGGCACAGGGAGTCGTGTGCTGGGTTAGAAGATATTTAGCAAGCCTAGAGTGCCAATCTATGGGCCCAAGCCTTTCCAGGACCTCCTTAGCAGATCTGATTGCTCTTTCAGCCAGGCTATTACTGGCAGGATGAAAAGGAGCTGTAAGTACATGCCTGATTCCCAAGTTAGCTAGGAAGACATCAAACTCACAGAAAGTAAACTGGGGGCCATTATCAGACACGATAGTGTCAGGGAGGCCATGGGTAGCGAATATCCTTGATAGAGTCTTAGTGACGGCTTCTGAAATTGTGGTGGTCATCAAGGTCAGCTCTACCCATTTAGAAAAAGAATCAACCATCACCAGGAATGTACGCCAATGAAAGGGGCCAGCCAGATCAATATGCACCCGGGACCAAAGGGTCCCAGAATCTTCCCACCTGCCTGGAGTGGATGTGGGTGGAGCAGGTCTGGTAACTTGGCATGGCTGACAAGCATTCACCCAACTTGTTATCTGAGCATCCATGCCTGGGCACCATACATAACTGAGAGCTAGGGCTTTCATTCTGACAATGCCCGGATGCCCTTCATGCAAGACCTTTAAAGCTGAGGCTTGCAACTTGGAAGGGATAACTACCCTAGTTCCCCAAAGTAAACAGCCTTGCAAAGAAGACAGTTCTTGCTGGTGAGTTTTGAAAGGCACGAATTTGGGGGCATAAGGAATTGCAGGCCACCCCCTTCCCACCCAGTCAAGGACTTGGGCGATTAACTTGTTCCTGGCAGAGTGGGCAGCGATATCAAGGGCGGTGATGGGAAATTTGAGATCGTGATCAGAAACACAGCATTAGTTGGTGCAGGATCCTCCACAGGAACAGGCAGGGGGCAGCGACTAAGAGCATCAGCGTGGCAGAGACTCTTGCCAGCTTGATGAACCAGTGTATAGGAATAGGCAGCCAGAAATAAAATCCACCTGGTCATCCTTGGAGACAAAATCTGAGGAGTCTGTCTGTTGCCTGACAGAAGGCCTAACAGAGGCTTGTGATCCGTAACCAACTCAAAATAGTGTCCATATAGAAACTCATGGAATTTTTTGACAGAAGCAACTGTAGCCAAAGCCTCCTTGTCAATTTGGCTGTAGTTGCGCTCAGCTGAGGGAAAAGTTCTGGAGAAAAAGGCAATGGGTGCCTCAGAACCATTAGGCAGTCTATGACTTAAAACGGCACCTATGCCAAAAGGAGAAGCATCTGCTACTAAAACTAAAGGTAAATGCTCATTAAATTGGATCAGAACAGCATCGGATGTGAGCAATGATTTGACTGCATGGAAAGCATGGGCTTCCTTAGGTCCCCAGTGCCAGGGGGATTGCTTATCCAAGAGTCTGTGCAGAGGCTTTGCACCGGAAGCTTTATGTGGCAAAAATGAAGTGTAAAAGTTAAGAAGTCCTAAAAAGGCCTGGAGCTCAGTTTCGTTAGTTGGTGTGGGTGCCTCGTGAATAGCCCTGACTTTGTATTTGATTGGGTGAATACCAGAGGCATCAATTCTGTATCCCAAAAATTCTATCTGTGGGGTGGCAATAGTGCACTTCTCTTTTTTTAACTTAAGACCATGCTTCCTGAAACGATCGAGGACTCCTCTGACTCTTTGCAGTAATTGAGACTTGTCAGGGTAGATATTAAAATGTCATCAAAATATGGAATTACACCTGGTAATCCTTGAAGAAGTCTTTCCATTAAAGATTGGAAAATCCCTGGGGCCACACTTAGGCCAAATTGGAGGTGCCTACATTTAAAAGCACCCCTGTGCGTTACAATAGTTGTAGTTCAGCAGCTGTGTCATCAACAGGGGACTGTTGATAGGCCTGTGACATGTCTAATTTCGCGAAAATGGTTCCTGGCTCAAAAGAATGTAGTAGGTGCTGGATAACAGGGACTGGATAAGCGCTGATTTGGAAATATTTATTCAATGACGTCTTGTAATCTGCACAGATTCTTATGCTACCATCTTTCTTCAGGGGTGTCACTATTGGGGTTTCCCATTTTGCGAAGTCCACAGGCTCTAATACACCCTGTTTAATTAATTTGTCAAGCTCCATGTCTAATTTGAGGCGGATTGCAAAAGGTACCCTTCGAGGCTTTAAACGGATTGGTACTGCCAGGGTCCAAGTTGAAAGATATTGGGGTTCCTGAATAACAGCCCAGCCCCTCGCTGAACACATCAGCATAGTCATTAAACAAGGTGTCCACTTCAGCATTTGTAATAGAGTGGATTCCGCTTATACGGAGGCCAAGGGCAGGGAACCAGTCTAACCCCAACAGGCTAGGGAGGGCACCATCCACTACCACTAAAGGAAAGTGACCTTTAAAATTTTGAAATTGAACAAAAAATTTGCCTTTTCCGATGACTGGGATGGTTCTGCCTTGGAAGTCATGTAGGGTTAACTGGCAGCCGTGAAGCTTCTTCTTAGCCATTCTGGGAAGTACTTGTTTCAA